GTTTTTTTTTTTCTTGTATGCATGTTTGTCTTGTTCTAAGATACATATATATCTGCGTGTGTAAGTGCGTTTTTATTTTTGCTTTTAAAAAAGAAAATAAAACCTTTCTATCTTGTCGATAGATTGAAATAAAATGTAAAAATTTTCAAAAAAAAAAAAAAAATGATACAAAATTAAGAAAAACGTAGCTCGTCTATTGAATATCACAGTAAAGCAAATTGTGACAATAAACAAAGTATATTACATTATAATGCATGAACGACTTCCTCCTGAACTTCTAAGTGCAGACATATGTTTGTCATTTGATGGTGCATGAACATTAACATTTTTTGAAGCTGTTAGTTTTCCAACAAGACCATCATTAGTTCCAAGTGGAATTGGTTGAAAATATAATTCCTATACACAAGATAAAAAGAAATTTTACTTTTTAGATTTTTAGTCAGATAAAATATTAACTTCTTCTTTTTTTGTATTAATTCGAACTGCATGAGCTTGTAATTTATCTTTCCAAACTGGTGCTGAATCTAAATAATCTTTATGCATTTTAATCAAAACCATTTGATTTGTTTCACTAAAATAAAATAATATTATTCATATAACAAAAAAAAAAGTGTCTATATAAAATATTACTTTCGATATTTTTCCATAACTTGATCTAGAGCTGCTTTATTTTTTTCAAGATATTGTTCTTCTCGTTCCGTAATAGCAATTTTTCTTTCATATGCAAAAAACAAAATATTAATATTAGAACAAAAAACAAAATAATCAACTTGGTACATACTCATTTTCTAATTGAACAGTTGAATCAAGTCGTTTTTGAAGAATTTGTTCTTCATCATTTAGTTTTTTAATTAAATCTTTTACATGTGTAGATACTTGTTCTTTCATTGTTTTATATTCTTGAATACGTCCCATTCGACTAGCATTTAAAGCTTCTAGAAAAAAAAGTTAATTCTTTTTAAAGATTCAAAAAAAAAACAACAACAATACAAACTAGCTAAAACAAGGAGTTCATTAGTTTTAGCCGTTAAACTTGCAAGAGATTTATCAACTTCTTTTTTTTGTGATTCATAATGTTTTGTTCGACAATCACCACATAATGGTTTTTCACAATGAAAACATGGACGTAATTCAGTTGTATTTCGGCATTCATTGCATGCAGCTAAAATTGTTGCTGGTGAATCATCAGTAATAACTGCATATGGAGCACCACTATTTTAAGAGAAAATCATTTTCTTTTAAATATTCGTTTGAAATTAACAAACAATTCTTTGAACTTTCATCGAAAGTGAAAAAATCAAGAAGTTGATTCTCTGTCAATCACAGCTTTCGCTCTTACTGTTAAATTTTATCAAAATTTTCAACAATTTTTTTATGGAGGTTTTATAAGAGTTTTTAATTTTCGATATTTTACTTTCCATACTTTTACTTTCGACTAAAGATGAAACCTTCATAGATGTTTCTTTGTGGCTTCAATAATTTTTCGTCTCTGAAGTTCTAATAAAAACCTTAACAGTATTCGAGTTTCTATTGAGATTTGGCTAAGTTATCGGATTTTCTTCTAAAAACCTCAGGTTTTCGGATAACTCAAATTTTTAAATTTTGACCTAAAACTTTGTGCATGTCTAGAATTCCACCAGACTAGCTTACATAAATGAAAATATACCATTGTAGTCATTTTACGTATTAACACATCAATCTTTCATGTTTGAAAATTTGCTCTAAATGTATCGATATAGAATCATTCATACACTTCGTTTTGACTTGTTCTTATCATTCTCTCAGATGACACCTGAAAAATTATTTATGAAATGTTATGCATGTAGTTCCTTTTTTTTTGCTTGATAACACGTAAAATTATTCTCATGATACTAACAATAATACTTAATACTAATATTTGCTTACCTTATTCATATGAAAAAAAAACATCGAATAAACTTCTACCAATAACTAAATAATCAGCCTATTTGATTGAGCCGCTGTGAAAATATTGCATTTTTTTTTATGGTAGGGTTATTTATAGCCTACACTGTATGTCATGTACTATAGGAACCAAATTAAAATGCTCATAACTTTTCAAGGAAATAATAAGATCCGAAACCCTTTAAAAGTTTTTACGAGGACACAAAACAGTCTCTATAGGCAAAAAATCGGATGGATACACCTGCGAAGATTCCCTGATATGATAGAAATTATCAAACAAACCTGTTCAAACCGATGAGATATGGTGCTAGTTTGTCTGATGAAGCTGATGAAAGTGATGAACCTAATGCTGTATGTTCAGTTCCACATATTGGACAAACAATTTTATCATGTTGAATTTCTTTTGTTAAACAATCAGAACAGTATGAATGTCGACAAACTAATTCTAATGGATTAGTTAAATTTTTTTTGCAATAATGACATTGTACAAATGAATCCATTCGATAATTTTCTTTTATGAATTACAAAGAAAACAAAACACAAGAAAGTAATCATATCTATTAATTTGTTAAATATATACATACCTTGTATTTGGTTTTACTATAGTAATTTTATTCGTTGCGTCGATATGAATAAGTAATTTTGTTCATTCAATTGATTCTATTGTAACCTATTTATACTGTGTAGAGAGCTCGCATCAGTCACGTGTCGTCAATATTTTTGTCCTTTGTTCACAGAAAGAGGGAAACGAGTTGAAGAGAGGGAGACGTACATCAGTGTTTTGAGTGTATGATCACATGAGTAGAGTGATGAAGTTTATTTTTTAAAATCTAATAATGAAAATTTGTCTATTTATACTTGAGAACAACGTAATATATGTCAATTAAGAATTCAAGTATTTCCTAAATGGACCTTGTGTACAGTTGATTCTAACTTCGTTGGTTCTGACTTCAAATAGAATATCCATAAGTTCTACGGATTGCAAGAAGTTGTGTTTCGAAAATACCTCTTCTATTCTAAAGAAAAAACCGCAAATTATTGCAAAAAAAAACCAGTTCAGATTCACTTCGAAGTCGATTCGAACTAAAAAATTACTGATGATTCTAAATAGATCTCATTAAGCAGATCTACAAACTGTTCAATAATAGTGTGCATGTTAATTACATCAACTGATGCCACATGAAAATGTTCGAAGTAGGCTGATATTAACTATGGTTATTGCATCAATTCCGATTTGGAACTTATAGAATATCTAGCTAAGAAACTATTCTAACGGTTTGTTTTTTTCTAAATATGGATGACTTCTTTTTATTGACTGGAAATAAGTTATGTCATTTGAACTTACACAAATGACTATTGTTTAAAGATTGATAAATAATCCTGTATTTAATATATTATTATTAATAAAATAATAATCGAAAAAAAGTGATCAAAGTACTAAATATGGATATATAATTAATCAAAATAGATTATTTAAGACGTGTTTTTTTGTGCTTTTCGTATTCAAACGTGACTTCAACAATTCTTTTTTCCTACTTGAATTGAATTCTACCCAATGATCTTGAATTTGATTCGATTAGTGGTTCTTGCACTTAATAAACTTCTTCAATTTTTCAGACTTCTATTTACGGTCTAAAAAAATTTTTTCAATTGCTAATGTTTTATTTTAAAAGTGCTGTCTCTATGTTCGATTGATATGTCATTTTCGTTTGTTTATTGCTAAACTAAACTCAAGGCCAGATCAATCCTACAACGATGAAAATGTGCATGAACATTTTTTGCATTTAAATAAAACTAAAATTTATCTGTTATGCGCCCAAGTTCTTCTTCATACACTATGTCATCATCATGAATATTAACAAAAAAAAAATTATCTTTTGAATTATGATCAAACTATTTTACACTCATTTAGTTTCGTATAATTACAAATATGATGTCATATCTGGATTCGATTTGATGCTTTCATATTTTATGAAAATTCTACTAGCAAGTTTGTATTCAAGTCCATTCTTTGAATTTAGACAAGTATTAAACATCGAGTCGAATTGCAGGACTTGACTCTTGAATAATAGAAATAGTGACAATGTAATTATTAAGTGTTAATTCTACGATACAAGATATGCAATAATATTGCGAAAATATAAAATGACATTTATACGGTATAAATAGATATAGAAAAAGACTATAAAATAAAAACTAATGAATAATTTATTTCTTTATAATTTCATCGTAAGAAAAAAGAATTAATTTTCAATATGATAATTTTATGTACTAATCATAAAATCTCTCGAGATTTTTCTGATTTCAACAATGTTTTTGCTCTATAGATACCACATAGCATTCTAGAGAAAATCGTGGAAGACTTTGAATTCCTATATTAAGACTCCTGTAGGTTTCTAATTTTTCAGAAAAATCACATCTTGGGATTTGCTGTTGAAATTTTCTCTTTTTGAAGGCTTCATCTACAGTAAGTTGTACCAAGATTTCCACAGTTTGTCATAAATAGACGCTTTTCAAAGTGAAATGAATAAAACTAGAATATTTCAAAAAATTCATAGCTTGAAGATACTAAGAATATCAATCTTGAAACTTTTCATACAAGCCACTGTATATCATACTTTCAAATAGTTATAGCTTCAAGATACAATCCGAACACCTAGACTTCTAAATATTTATACTGAAGATTGACATCCATATTAATGTTTACGAAAGAAGTAGATATCAGTATATTTATGAAAAATCATTTTTGTTTCATATTATTTAAAACCTAATATGAGGATATTTACGAAATTGTATTTGAATCCTACACATGAGAATATATATTAAAAATAAATAGCTTCATCTTTTATTAATTTGATAATTAATACAAGTACTTTATGTCCGCCGATAATTCGAAAGTGATGATAAATAAATAAAATTATAGAATTTTTTAAACAAATTATTAATCAGTTAAATGGATAGTTTCCGGTGGCGCCATCCGTTAGTTACCTAGGGAACGGAAGTATTGTTAATTTTAAATGGCAATCATTTCTACAATTGACAGTAACGAAAAAAAAAAGAAACACCTTAGTTAAACTATGCATGTAAGTGAATTATAATGTAATGATAATATTAAATATATATCCTATCTTTTTTATTGATTTTTAGAATTCAACTACTCCAAAACCAAGTATTCTTGTCTGGTACATAGCACAAACACAATATCAAAGAAATATCTTATATTTCTTTTTTTTTATAATGTTTAGGACTGATCTCTCTCATGATCAAGTAAGAAAATTGGAAGAATTAAATGATGCAGAAAGTATAAATAAGTATAATTATAAATATTATACATTATAAACAAAATAATTATAATAATTATTTTAGTTTTTTTATAAAAATTTTCAATCTTGAATTAAATACTAAACGTACAACAATTTTATGTGATCTATATTATTATGCTATAAATTTTGCTCGTACAAATAAATTTAATCATGAACAGATCTCAACATTTATTAGTATTCTTAAACATGTTCATGAAATGTGTATACGTATGTTATCTAATATATATATTAACAAATATTTTTCATTCTTTTGAAAAAAAAAATAATTTTAGAAACACCATTTTCAAATATGGAAGAAACTTATAAATATTTCAAAGGACTTATGTTAAAACATTCATTATCTGTAAGTATTTACACTTATCAATTATTTTTGCTTTTTTCAGATATTTCTATTGAGTTTTTCTTTAGAGACCACCACATAGTTTACGTATATTTACACCAGATACAACTAAAAAAGTAACTGATTATATTATTGATACTTATTTTCGTCATTATAAAATGTATAAATTTATTTTTACACCAACAGTAAGTAAATTTTCATTTTAACACAATAAGATAAAATTGTTTAGATTGATTTTAATTTAAAATTTACTTATGATGGTATGACTCGAGAAATACCAAAAACAGAAGAAGACGAACATGGCAAAATAATTGAAACAGAAGATGTTAATACAATAAAAGATAATGAAGAAAAACAAAGTCAACAACAAGAAAGTAATATTAAACAAAAAATCTATTTGAATCACAGTGTGTTTTTTTTTTATTAAATTTATTTCTATAGAACATGAAGAACATGCTGAATTGATTGAAGTTCGTAAATTAATTGAAACTTATGTGAAAGAAGAAATTAAAAAAATGCAAAGTACTACTAATGAACAAGAAGTATTACGTCCACCAACGGAAAAACATCGATCAATTAAATCAAGCAGTACAAAAACTTCTAAATCACAAACACCAAAATAAAATTCTATTCTAAATATGATAACATCAGTAATATTGAAGAGACGTTTTCATATTATTTTTTTTTTTCTAATAGTTGAATAATGAATAATGACTTGAAGTAAATGATTGTGATTTTATCGATTGACTATCATTTGTTTGTGGAATATAAATTGATTCAAACATATCAGAAAAAATATCTTCATCATAATTTAATGTTTTTATCAATGGTGAATTTGTATCGATAGAATTTATCTTTTGATGATATGGATTTGATTGTTGACAACGAAATTTCATATCCATTGGAAGAGTAACACAAGGAATAGTATCATCTTGATCATAGACAATCAAACCTCTGAAAAAATAATAATTAAATGTTTAATTTCTTTTAAAAAAATCATTTGTATCTTTCGAGCGGAAGTCGGAGATGTAAGCTTCATTCTCGAAAATAATTTTCTATTGTTCAAGAGTAACTACATGTCATTCAAACAATAAAAAATTCTTCAGAAAAAAAAACATCTGGAGGGGTGCTCCACTTTTTTCGAAAGAAAGGATATCGGACTCATTTTACTAAGTTTAGTTATTCCAAAAATCACTATGGAACTATTTTCCCTTGTTCTTAAATGTTTATCAGTGTAAATTTAAACTCTTTTTACGAAATAATAGAGAACATTGAGCTAACCTCGAATATGTGCTGACTTTTGTCTACTCATCGACTGAAGAGATTAAATCCTACACAAAAAACTTTATTTTTCTTAACGACAGGCGTATTTTCAAACAAAGTCTTGATTGTCGAAGTTTCCACTCTACTCGACATTCGTAACAAAAACTCTTATGCCAATAGACAGAGCATGTGTCTTGAGATATATTTAGTACCATTTGAAATTGATGAAAAATTCACTTTCGTTTTTTCATCAAATATTCGCATGGATGCACACTGTTTCTTCCTTCTTATAGACGATGACAAACGTTGCTGATATATGATCAAAGACGTAAGAATTTAGTACGTTTTATGTTTTAATTCTATAGATATTTGCTGAAAGTTTTCGTTGTCTTATATAGATTGTATTATTTATAAGCATTACTTTACGTACGGAACACATTCATTGATTGTTTGATTAATATATTTAAGAATTGGTAGTCGTTGTTTAGCAAGAAAACTAAAACGACGTTGAAGTAATGTTTTAAAACGTTTTTTTTTCATTGATTTTTGTTTATTAATACAAGCTATTGTAAACATACGAAATTCTGAATAATCAAGTGCATCATCACCACTTATATCAAATTCTTTAAATATAATACGAATTTCTCTATTATCAAGATTAAATAAAAATCCAAGACGTTGAAATTCTTCAACTGTTATTGTACCTGAACTATCTTCATCAAGTAATTCAAAAACAGTTTTAGAATGAGCATGCATAAATTCTTTTTCTTTTTTATCCTATTAAAAAAAAAAAAATATTTATGAAAGAAAAAAAAAAACATTTATATCATTGAATTCTATACTTTATTAGCTAAAAGTAAAGTAATTAGAAGAAAAAATTCTTCTAATTCCATAGCACCAGATCGATCAAGATCTATATATTCAAAAGAGATTTCAAAATCATATTAATAAATAGCACATGATCGAAAAAATAATCCGACATAATATACGTTCATTTTTTTTTGTATGCTTTTCAATTCCGAATCTTTATAGAACTTCTAATTTAACAATTTTGAACTGGTCTTGAGAATGAGTAGTAATTGATCTTGAAATTTTTCCCTAATCTTCTATAATTTTTTGTCTGCTATGGTTTTCGTCTTGTCATAACATTTCAATAAACTTAAAATATAAATATTAACACTCAGTAATCGTTTACCAGCAAGATCTTCATTTTTTACATGCCAACTTCATCCTCATGCAGTACTGTATGTGATTGAATCATATATTCGCAAATTAAGGTTTATAGAAAATAAATTCAGAATTATGTTTCTGTCAAATATACACCCAACTATCGCTTTTCTCTCCTAAACTATCGATCCTAGAGGAATGTTAAATCTTTATTCTGAAACAATACAAAATTTTGATTCAAATTTCAGCAGAGACTAAAAAAAATATGAATATACATTTTATTCAATTACTTTTTTAATACCTAATTTATAAATAATAGTTGACATTTGATTTTTATACATATTAGTAAAATAAATAAGTAATGCTCGAATTTGATATTCTTCAAGACGATTAGTATTATCAATATCAAGTAAACTAAAAAGAATTGAACAAACTTTCATTGTAGTTGTTGTAATTGACCAAGTTGGTGGTGTCAAATGTATATAATCAAGAATACTTGAATTAAAATGAAGATGCATGAATATTCTATCAAGAGAATTTATCTTTGATTAAAAATTTATTTCGCGCACAAAATTTCAAGATAAAATGCAAATAATATTAGATCTTCTCTTATATCAGAACATAAGATGATAAAAAGAAATATTTTTTTTTCATTCCGAATTATAATTTTATTTAAAAAAAAAAAAGAAGTTTATCCAAGTAATAAATCAAGAGCTGCTTTTAAATCCCAATTTGTTGCTTCAAGTGCTTGTCGATTTGCTGCTTGATCAGTTAGACCCATAGCATACATTTGATCAAGAAGTGTTTGTACATTTGTTGGTTCACTTATAGAAGTTTCCATTGTTGTCGATGGATTTGTTTCTGATGTTGTTGAAGTTCTTTGTAAAACACTTCGTAATTGATCCATACTAATTATATTACGACGATTTGTTGTTCTTGGTGTTTGTTGAAGTGAAATATTTGATGAACGAGAATTATTAGTTGTAGTAGAATTTGTAGTTGATCGATTTGTTTGTTCAAGTGCACGATAAAAATCTTCATTTGTTATACGACGAGGCATGACATTAAATGTTGGTTGACGTGGTGCAACAGGTTCAATTAAATGAGGACTACCATTTAAAAAATAAGCAGCTAAATACAAACATAAAATTATATCGAATAAATTTAATTATAAAGAAACAAAACAAATTTTACCCGGTGATAATTGCACATCATTTGAACTTGTTAGATTATTAGTTGATGTCCATTCTTTAATTACTTGAATAATTGCTTTATATAATAATGGATTAGTTTCAACTATTTCAGTAAGACGTTTAACATTATAATTTTGACAGAAAAGTACTGAATCTTCACATAAACCTAAATATAAATAAAATCTTTTTTATATGAATTTGATGATATTCTATTAAGAATTCAAAATTTGAACAGAAATCTTTTATTTTTATCGTTAAGCTATCTATAGATATTGTGTTTTGTGTAGTAAAAATTATATTAAAAAAAAAAAAACAATCAGATAAACCAATAAAAATTGAAATAGATCAATAATATTAAGTCTCGGTAACTTCCATATTTTTTCATATGACATCAAAATGTAAGTTTGTATTTTAAAATTTGAACAATTAGAACTTTAGTTCTTAATCAAACAAATATTATATTTAGAATTAACGAAAAAATTTATATTATTCAATACTTAAAATTAATTTTCATCAAATTTTGATCTCAAGAGAAGTATACATATGAATATTCGAAAATAACAGTGCAAGAATTGAAATTTGACGAAAATTACTCTTGTACTATTCAATATAGATTTTTTGCATTGATAATGAATATAATATTTGTTACTGTTAGAACTGAAGTTGAAATAGACAAAAATCTCTGAATACAAACTCATCTTTATGAATTTTTGTTTGCAATCATATCGAAAAAATCGGTTTTTTTTCAACAATACTTAAGTTTTATTAGAAAAATATTATTTATATAAAATAACTGAAATGACCCCTAGTTCAACTATGACAAATAGATATTTTGTTGAATTTTAAAATTGTCAACATTTTATATTACCTAATGCACTTGAATCAAGTAATAATTCAGGTAACACTTGAGTTATTCGTCGCCAAAAATCTGATGTTTTCATTAGCCAATAGAGCTAATTTTTATAAATAAAAGAAATATGTATATTATTCATTAGTTTTATTCTTTACTCGATGAAATTCATTTGGTGTAGCTGATTTTTCAATTGTTTTAGAACTTTGATGAAGTTCAGTTTTACTTGGTAATCCTATTTATTAAGAAAAAATAAAAAGAAAAATTATTTGAACTTCAACCTTTTCTTTTTTTCCTTGATAAAATATTTTTACCAGCTGAATTTATCATGAAGGATTCATTTGGTAATTGAACTTTTGGTACAATTAATAAATTATCTTCATTTTCAATTTCATAATCATTTAGATTTTTATCATCTCCGGTTAATTGTACACCTTGACAATATATATCTATATTGATTCATTTAAAAGCAAAAAAAAAAAAGAAAAAGACAAGCATATCAAATTTTTTTTTTTTCAATTTCAACATACCAAATGAATTATCTGATAATGAAAATATCTGAGCTATTTGTGATTTTAATTCATTTATTGAACATTCTTCAATATTCAATTTATTTGGCATATCAATGCCATTGCTATTACTTTTATTGTTCATGGTTGAATCTAATGGCAACAAATTGAATGTGTACATTGCAGTTCTTTTTGTTTTTTTTTTTCTTCTTTTTGTTTTTGGTTTATAGTCTACAATTAAATAGGTTGTACATGAAAATTGAGTGTGACCTGTCATCATATTTCTAATTTGATCACATTGTTCAATCTTTCTCTCATTAATTCGAATTATAGTGTAGAAAATGAATTTTTTTTTTTACTATCATCAATATGAAAACGAAGAAGAACAAATCAAGGATGTCTATATATACAACAAAAAAAAAAGAAAAAAGAAAGAAAGAACAATCTTTTGTTGTGAGACGTTCTTATCTGTACACTCGATCTAGTCATGTACTACAATAAATTTGTGCGTATCTCTCAAGACAAGACTAGACGAGAGAGACACTCAATTGCTATATGTATGTGTGTATTAAGTAATATGAGATTTTTTTTTTCTCTTAAAAATCCTCTTGAGTATATACGCGTTAATGGATTCGAGCTGT